TATTTGGTACCTAATGAAAATGTAATAACCTAATTAAAATAGAAACACTAGAGTCAGAACTCAATTGCTGAAAAAGTTGTCTGGAACTCTGTAACTATTTGTCAGGTTCCTATTCAACATGCAGGACAGGTGCTATGTCAAGCGGCCATTAAGGGACTGACCAGTTGATAATGTGGCATTCTGAAAATCTGGACATGATCCCTGGACGTTAGTCTGTCTTACAGACCCTGATACAAATATATAGCAAATACAGCCCATGCAAGTCTATAATGTTTGGCAAGTCTAGATCACTGCAGTATCAGGAAATGAAAAGTCACTGGGCTCCTTTTTATCATATTTTTATTAAGATAACTGAACAACTGTTTTTTTATGTACGATGTGTTCATTTCAGAGACTAGATGTTAATCTACCTGCACGTGTTTGATGTCTAAAACATAATGTGGTGTAAGTGGGTCGAAAATATTACAGTGAATATTGAATGGTTTTGAAGTTTGGGTTACCAGGGCAACGTTGTGTGTTAACATGTCCATTGTGCAGCGGGGGTATTGCTCAACACCTACTTGTTTTGGTTGTGTTGTGAGATTCAGCAGTTGTGATGATCGTTGTGCAGGTGTTTCGCAATCCTCCGACACAAGGACCGAGCCCAGCCCACTACTGACTTATATACATATACAGCTCTGGTTGACTTCATAGCAACTTGTGATGGTAGGTTAAAGTTTGTGAGTGATTGAGGATATGTTTGATGGGAGTTTAAGTTTGTGATTGTACCTGGCATGAGACTGACTCTTGTTGACGGATCATAAATCAATCAGTGATCAAAGGACATGCATCCTCACTATGCAATTTGAAAACATGGACAAGCAGAGATTGTTATGTGTGTGACACTGCAGAGGGTATGAAATTGGAAGTCCCGGTCCTGGAGCTTGGGAGAATAGTCACTCTCTTTACGTTCATGGTATTCCAGTTTGTCAGCACCATACCCGTGATTGTGGATTTCACTCATAAAATGGTAAACGTCTGAGACCTTCATCATTTCATGCTTTCCTACCACGCCAAGCTGACACGCCGTGGTATAACTGGAATACTCGTGTACTGTTCAAAGTGGCGTAAAACCCAACTCACTCACTCACTCATGTTATTCCACTGCTAAGTGATATTGAACTGATGTGCGATAGTGAACTGATGTGTGATAATGAACTGAATGGTATCACATTCTGAGTGTCAGGGAACAGGCAATGTGACTGTTAAGTGTTTAATAGTTTGGAGGAGAACAGAGCTAATGTGTTATTCAAACAGTGTGAGGAGTTGTTGGTTGGGAAAATGAGATGGCCTACTCACATGGCATGTGCACATAAGTTGTCACTCGGATAAGACAGAATGAGGAGTTCATAGTATTTCTGACACTGTACCCATAAACTGGTGTCACAACCTTGGAGTTTATGGTTTGAAAAGGAATTGTGAAATTAAATTCCTCAAAAGATTCATTAATCCTACGATGTTTCATTGATGTGAAAGTCCCCTTAGTGGACAATAAGAACACATTTGGATCACTCTTACACTCTCACAGCTTACCAAGCTTGTAAACAAAAAACTTCGAACAAAACTCGCAGAAAAAGGAAGGAAGTTTGAAACTACCTGTGCACAAGCACCCAATCTAGCAAGATAAAGTCCAAAGTTGTGAGTGGGGGATACTGATTGATTTGTTGTCAACTACACACTGAGCCTTCCTGGCGTGATGGGTCAGCAGGTGGAGTCGGGTGTGTCAGACAGGGGACACAGCTAGTACCTCCAGGTGGAGGGTGGAGGGTGGAGGGAGGTAGGCAGGCAGACAGGAAGTTCTAGAGCAGTGAGTGTAGCAGAGACTCGCTTGTGTCGGAGGGAAGCATTCATGCCACGTTGGCTTGCTCTGCCTTTGGGGTAAGTTTGAGAGCAGGTGCCCTGTACCCTAGTATGGGGACTGTGTGAGAGAGCAGGTGCCCTGTACCCTAGTATGGGGACTGAGTGTGAGAGCAGGTGCCCTGTACTCTAGTATGGGGACTGTGTGAGAGAGCAGGTGCCCTGTACCCTAGTATGTGGACTGAGTGTGAGAGAGCAGGTGTTCTGTACCCTAGTATGGGGACTGAGTGTGAGAGCAGGTGCCCTGTACCCTAGTATGGGGACTGAGTGTGAGAGAGCAGGTACCCTGTACCCTAGTATGGGGACTGAGTGTGAGAGAGCAGGTGCCCTGTACCCTAGTATGGGGACTGAGTGTGAGAGAGCAGGTACCCTGTACCCTAGTATGGGGACTGAGTGTGAGAGAGCAGGTACCCTGTACCCTAGTATGGGGACTGAGTGTGAGAGAGCAGGTGCCCTGTACCCTAGTATGTGGACTGAGTGTGAGAGAGCAGGTGTTCTGTACCCTAGTATGGGGACTGAGTGTGAGAGCAGGTGCCCTGTACCCTAGTATGGGGACTGAGTGTGAGAGAGCAGGTACCCTGTACCCTAGTATTGGGACTGTGAGAGCAGGTGCCCTGTACCCTAGTACTGGGACTGTGTGTGAGAGAGCAGGTGCCCTGTACCCTTGTATAGGGACTGAGTGTGAGAGAGCAGGTGCCCTGTACCCTAGTATGGGGACTATGTGAGAGAGCAGGTGCCCTGTACCCTAGTATGGGGACTGTGTGAGAGAGGAGGTACCCTGTACTCTAGTATGGGGACTGAGTGTGAGAGCAGGTGCCCTGTACCCTAGTATGGGGACTGAGTGTGAGAGCAGGTGCCCTGTACCCTAGAATGGGGACTGAGTGAGAGCAGGTGTCCTGTACCCTAGTATGGGGACTGAGTGTAAGAGCAGGTGCCCTGTACCCTAGTATGGGGACTGTGTGAGAGAGCAGGTGCCCTGTACCCTAGTATGGGGACTGTGTGGGAGAGCAGGTGCCCTGTACCCTAGTATGGGGACTGTGTGAAAGAGCAGGTACCCTGTACCCTAGTATGGGGACTGTGTGAGAGAGCAGGTACCCTGTACCCTAGTATGGGGACTGTGTGAAAGAGCAGGTGCCCTGTGCCCTAGTATGGGGGCCGAGTGTGAGAGAGCAGGTGCCCTGTACCCTAGTATGGGGACTGAGTGTGAGAGAGCAGGTGCCCTGTACCCTAGTATGGGGACTGTGAGAGCAGGTGCCCTGTACCCTAGTATGGGGACTGAGTGTGAGAGCAGGTGCCCTGTACCCTTGTATAGGCACTGAGTGTGAGAGAGCAGGTGCCCTGTACCCTAGTACTGGGACTGTGAGAGCAGGTGCCCTGTACCCTAGTACTGGGACTGTGAGAGCAGGTGCCCTGTACCCTAGTACTGGGACTGTGAGAGCAGGTGCCCTGTACCCTGGTATGTAGCCTGGTAGGGGGTGATAAACAGAAGGATATAGGGCCAGTGTAGATAGTGAGTAGGCTGTGATAAACACCTTGATACAGAAGAAGATAGGGGTGTGCCAGTATAGATAGTGAGTAGGCTGTGATAAACACCTTGATACAGAAGGAGATAGGGGTGTGCCAGTATAGATAGTGAGTAGGCTGTGATAAACACCTTGATACAGAAGGATATAGGGGTGTGCCAGTGTAGATAGTGAGTAGGCTGTGCCAGTGTAGATAGTGAGTAGGCTGTGATAAACACCTTGACACAGAAGGAGATAGGGGTGTGCCAGTATAGATAGTGAGTAGGCTGTGATAAACACCTTGATACAGAAGGATATAGGGTTTGGCCAGTTTATATAAGATATCTGTGCAGCATTCGGCATGTTCAGTTAACACATTTTAATGAAATAAACAGCTGTGTGGGTAATTGATGTGGAGTTACGTGGCCGTCCCGCTCTACTGATTAAGAATGTAAATATCCTGTTGTTGAAATGATGAAAATTCTGTTTTGCATCTGAACTTGGTTTGAGTTCACTGACGAATGTTCAGGCTCGCTAACCAGTTGCATGTTGCATGAGACACTCTCACGTGATGACACGATACATGATGCACTGAGAGCCTAACCTGTATGATTTGTGTGGAGTTCTTAAAGGAATGCACATCTTGAATGTCAGTGACCCAGGACTCACGGTGCCGGGCCAGCAAGTTTCTGGAAATCCACACTGTAACTGCAATACAATGAAATGAACGAGTCAGTGACTGGCATGTAACAACTTTTGTGCAGATATTTGATTTTCGTTTCAGCATTGTTCTGGAGAAATTGTAACCATGGTAACATGTCTCTTGCCCAGTGGAGGTGAAACAATACAATGCACGAGTCTTTTTTGTCTGTATCGGTACAACACAATACTCTTGCTCAAATATTTTCTGTTCATTTAACATGTTTAATGACCTCCACGGTGTTTGTCATTCAAATATCTAAAATGTGTTGCGATATTATCGTATCGTGATACGTATTGTTTCTTGATCTTACTGTATCGTTCACCCCTACCGACAAGCTGTAGTGCCACATCAATTTGTCCATCAGTATGACATGAATATACATATATCGTGTTGGGCCTCCCCTGTCGAGGCAAATGTGAAACATGCAATAATAAACATACTATATTCGACGTAATAAGTGCCCAGGGCGTTCTCAAAATTAGGAATGGGGGATCGGATTAGAATATAATTTTGGTGAGAAAAAAAAACAGAGTGGAAAGATTGTAAATTTCTTGGTTTATGCTGACAGCCTGAAATGATACCAAACAAAAGTCTGTGTGTATTATGCACAACAGATATATTTTCCAGAACTTAATTGCCCATAATTAAGGGTGCATATAACACACAAGTACGTATTATACACAAATTGTACATTGATCAATTGGAAGGGGTGCTTATTGGGATTGTTCGGTAGCAAATATATACCCAATATCCCCATGGGCGCTTATTAGAGCAGGGCGTTTATCACGGTATTTGAAAAATATGCCTGTTGACTATGATCACAGTCAGTCTGTTTGGGTTGACTAGGTCAGATAAAGCTTGTGTTGACAAGGATTCATAAGGGGTCGTTTTGGTTTCAGCCGGCGTTCACGTGATTTGACCCCTGCCTCGAGTCAGGAGTCTCTCCACATGGCTGGTGGCGCCCCCTCACCTTCAGGACGTGACAGCCTCATCATTAACAGCACCTCAGAGATCCGAGATGACGAGTGAGTTACCTCCCTTCTAGTTGTTACCATGGTTACAAGAGTGATGATGAGTGAGTGATGGCACAGGAGTTGTTTCAATGGTTACAAGATGCTTTTTGAGTCAGATCACTATAGCTGTTTCCATGGTTACAAAAGTGATGCTTAGTAACTTGTAGCTGTTCTGGTTACTTTGTATGAGAAATTTCAAAACAGTGAGGAAAAATAACAAAATTCAGATTATTAGCTCACCTGATCTATGATTTTGATTCCACAAGTGACAGGGGAGTTAGGGTAGCCATGTGGTTAAAGCATTCGCTTGTCACGCCAAAGACCTGGGTTTGATTCACGACATGGGTACATTGTGTGAAGCCCATTTCTGGTGTCCCCCGCCGTGATATTGCTGGAATATTGCTAAAAGCGGCGTAAAACCATACTCACTCACTCACTCAAATGTAACAGAGAGGACCGCAGACCCTCGCCCAGTTATGGAGTCTCCCACATGTATTCAGTATTAGTCAGAATACAACAAACTCTCACTCAATACATTTCAGACGCAGAAAATCCTCAACAGATATCTCGTGTCGACCCCAAAACACAACCATTGAAGAGGACCCAAGAGAGACAACTCTGGATGAGCCCGAGAGCCCATCCAACAGTGACAAGGTGAACGGCAACGTGGACAACGCCAGTGAAGACAGCGGAGCCGACAACAAGGAACACTCACCACAGGTGTCCTTCGACAATGGCTCACCCATGGACGACAGGACGGCTGACCGGCGCATGTACGCCATGGACGGAGAATCGCTGTCGGAGAAGGAGAGGCTGCCAAACAGACACGCCCGGGAGAAGTCCTTCGAGAGGTCCCTCGACAACATCATGGACAAATGTTCCGAGAAGTCGCTGGACCTCAACTTGAGTGTGGAGTCATGGAATGGGTCGATGAGTGACGCCAGTTGTCGGTCTCCAGACAACAGCCTTGCGACAGGGTCCACCTCGCTCAAGTACTCAAAGAACGAGAAGAAGAAGAAGTCGGCTTGGTACACAGTAAGTTTCGTGGTTGATGTTAGCTTTTCCTTTCCTTCCCGATCAAGGTCAGAATGTGGGGTCACACTACTGAAGCTCCAGTATTGGTCCACGGTATTTGGTTTTTGGTTTGGTTTGGTTTGGTTTGGTTTGGTTTCTAGTTTAACGCCGCACTCAGCAATATTCCAGCTATATGACGGCGGTCTGTTAATAATCGAGTCTGGACCAGACAATCCAGTGATTAATATCATGAGCATCGATCCACGCAATTGGGATCGATGACCTGCATCAACCAAGTCAGCGAGCCTGACTACCCGATCCCGTTAGTCACCTTTTACGGCAAGCATGGGTTGCTGAAGACCTATTCTACCCCGGATCTTCACGGGTCTGGTCCACGATAAGAAGCAGTCGTAAAACAGGGTTCACATGAGTCATGGGACCTGGGAAAAGTCATGAAATTTTAGTTTGAGTTTCCCAGTCCTGCAAAAGTTTTGGGAAAGGCTTAAAAAAATAAAAAAATAGGTTTTCCGGCAATGACTTTTGAATAAATAGTGCGGGTGGGTGGGTGTTTTTTTTTGCTTGTTCAAACTAGTATGTAACCAAAAAGACAGTGTACCATCAACCTTGGAAAGGGCCTTCCTACATAAACAAGCATACAAACTCCTATGGCTGCAATTACCAAAGCATCAGATGCTCAGTTAAGCAGTGCGCATGTAAAGGGAAGGAACTGCGTGCTACATTGGATCACATGGTATGAGGATTTTTTTTAAAATGGAAATAAAAACGAAACGTGCTTCAGACTTTTTGATCATGCGGGCGGTGCCAGTGAACCAAGACTATTATATTTTAAGCCAAATAGAAAATTGCTATAAAGACGTAGAAAAAAATATAATTTTATTATCTTTTTATGGTGATATGTAGCCATGACAGGCAGGTAAAGGCTTTGGCCAAAGTGATGTTCAGTTTGGATTAATTGAATTAAGATTGTGGTTTTGTTGTGATTTCTGTTGTTGTTATCATGGAAAGAACTGGCGTGATACTCTGGAAAAGTCATTGAAATGAGTCTGTGTATTAAGTTAGGTTTGTCAGCACCATACCTGTGCTCGTGGGTTTCACGGAAGTGGTAAACGTCTCAGACCTGCATCACTTCGGGCTTTCCTCCAACATTAAGCTGACACGCCGTGATATAACTGGAATACTGTTAAAAGCGGCGTTAAACCCAACTCACTCACTCACTCACACTGTGTATTAAGTTATGAAGCCTGGTTAAGGAGCCGATGTGAAAAGTTGGGGAGGGGTGGCCGGGGCATTGCCATCAAATGTGCAGCAGTTCACTGTGCAGAGTTGCGTCCCTTGGATGTGTAATCAGAATAGTCATTGTTTGGCAAATGGAGCTGTGCTGTCGGACTTGGTTGTATGCCTGGTACCCAACAATTGCTGAGGAAATAGAGCCTTATCAGTCAATTGCCTATCTAATAGCCACCAATTGCTGGGGAAATAGGGCTGTTTTATGACTGTTACTTGCCTACCTGGTACCCACCAACTGCTGAGGAAATAGGGCTGTTTTATGACTGTTACTTGCCTACCTGGTACCCACCAACTGCTGAGGAAATAGGGCTGTTTTATGACTGTTACTTGCCTACATGGTATCAACCAATTGCTGAGGAAATAGGTCTGTTTTATGACTGTTACTTGCCTACCTGGTACCCACCAATTGCTGGGGAAATAGGGTTGTTTTATGACTGTTACTTGCCTACCTGGTACCCACCAACTGCTGAGGAAATAGGGCTGTTTTATGACTGTTACTTGCCTACATGGTACCCACCAATTGCTGAGGAAATAGGGCTGTTTTATGACTGTTACTTGCCTACATGGTACCCACCAATTGCTGAGGAAATAGGTCTGTTTTATGACTGTTACTTGCCTACATGGTACCCACCAATTGCTGGGGAAATAGGGCTGTTTTATGACTGTTACTTGCCTACCTGGTACCCACCAACTGCTGAGGAAATAGGGCTGTTTTATTACTGTTACTTGCCAACCTGGTACCCACCAATTGCTGAGGAAATAGGGCTGTTTTATGACTGTTACTTGCCTACATGGTACCCACCACCTGCTGAGGAAATAGGTCTGTTTTATGACTGTTACTTGCCTACCTGGTACCCACCACCTGCTGAGGAAATAGGGCTGTTTTATGACTGCTACTTGCCTACCTGGTAACCCATCATTGCACTGGAAATAGAGACAAGTTTATCCGAGTCTATAGCCCACCTGGTACACATTTAGTTCTGGGTAAAGTGAGGCAACTCTTGATGCCAATTCCCGGCTTTGGAAAGAGTGAAGTGTATCAGTATCACTGTTACTTAAATCCAAACTTAGTGATGGTATCAAGCATTTACAGAGACACTTGACTGAAACAAAGTATGGGAAAAGATGGTGAATCTTGCGCTGGGAAGTTGAAGACTGACTTGCCCCTTCATGAATCCTTCGTGAGTCAACAAACCATATCTTATGTGAAAGAAAGATCCTAAATGTCACTCCGAACCGGCCTTTCCAAGAGAAGCAATTGGTTGCTTTTGGATCGAAATAGGAAGTTAATGACTTTGGGATGTGGATTTTAGGACCAAAAGAAAATCAAGTTGAGTCATGGGGAATATTTTATCTGTCTACTCTAGGGTTTATGTGTCTACTCTAGGGTTTATATTTCTACTCTAGGGTTTATGTGTCTACTCTAGGGTTTATATTTCTACTCTAGGGTTTATGTGTCTACTCTAGGGTTTATATTTCTACTCTAGGGTTTATGTGTCTACTCTAGGGTTTATATTTTTACTCTAGGGTTTATGTGTCTACTCTAGGGTTTATATTTTTACTCTAGGGTTTATGTGTCTACTCTAGGGTTTATGTGTCTACTCTAGGGTTTATGTGTCTACTCTAGGATTTGTCTGTCTACTCTAGGGTTTATGTGTATACTCTAGGGTTTATGTGTCTACTCTAGGGTTTATGTGTCTACTCTAGGGTTTATGTGTATACTCTAGGGTTTATGTGTCTACTCTAGGGTTTATGTGTCTACTCTAGGATTTATGTGTCTACTCTAGGGTTTATGTGTCTACTCTAGGGTTTATGTGTCTACTCTAGGGTTTATGTGTATACCCTAGGGTTTATGTGTCTACTCTAGGGTTTATGTGTCTACTCTAGGGTTTATATTTCTACTCTAGGGTTGATGTGTCTACTCTAGGGTTTATGTGTCTACTCTAGGGTTTATGTGTCTACTCTAGGGTTTATGTGTATACTCTAGGGTTTATGTGTCTACTCTAGGGTTTATGTGTCTACTCTAGGGTTTATATTTCTACTCTAGGGTTTATGTGTCTACTCTAGGGTTTATATTTCTACTCTAGGGTTTATGTGTCTACTCTAGGGTTTATATTTTTACTCTAGGGTTTATGTGTCTATTCTAGGGTTTATATTTTTACTCTAGGGTTTATGTGTCTACTCTAGGGTTTATGTGTCTACTCTAGGATTTGTCTGTCTACTCTAGGGTTTATGTGTATACTCTAGGGTTTATGTGTCTACTCTAGGGTTTATGTGTCTACTCTAGGGTTTATGTGTATACTCTAGGGTTTATGTGTCTACTCTAGGGTTTATGTGTCTACTCTAGGATTTATGTGTCTACTCTAGGGTTTATGTGTCTACTCTAGGGTTTATGTGTCTACTCTAGGGTTTATGTGTATACCCTAGGGTTTATGTGTCTACTCTAGGGTTTATGTGTCTACTCTAGGGTTTATATTTCTACTCTAGGGTTGATGTGTCTACTCTAGGGTTTATGTGTCTACTCTAGGGTTTATGTGTCTACTCTAGGGTTTATGTGTATACTCTAGGGTTTATGTGTCTACTCTAGGGTTTATATTTCTACTCTAGGGTTTATGTGTCTACTCTAGGGTTTATATGTCTACTCTAGGGTTTATATGTCTACTCGAGGGTTTATGTGTCTATTGTTTATATGTCTACTCTAGGATTTGTCTGTCTACTCTATGCTTTATGTGTCTACTTTAGGGTTTATGTGAATGATTACATAAATCAATGTTCAGTGGTGTTCATGACCATTGATAGAGTTTAAAAGCTATGTTCTTAATGTCAGTGTGTGTGTTTTAACTGACAAAAGGAACACAAATCATGATATAGAGCAGTCTGTTCAATATGACAACATATGGGACATAAAGAACATGCAAGTCAATATTCTTGTCTTAACACCCAACCAGGGCAGTGTCAAGGATATGCCCAGATATACAGACAGGTAACACATGGTGGCCATGCCACATGGTGTACTTACCTATAGATTTCCCAGCCTGCAGTGTCACCCTGCCATGGTGGCGTCAGTACAGATAGCTAGTTGTGCTTTGACAGATTATGTAGTGATTGCCCAGGTTGACAGATTGCAGGGTGCTGATAGATTTCAGATCTGCTTTGTTGGAGGATGTGGGTAGGTAGTGGTTGAGGACATTCCTTACATACATTGGGCGTAGTACAGGATTGGTCCCTGCTAGCCCCTGCTTGTCTCCCTGTGGGGATTCTGTAGGAGAGTACGTCTCCAGGGCCCATGCTTATCTCCCTGTGGGGATTCTGGAAGAGAGTATGTCCCCAGTGCCCTGCTTGTCTCCCTGTGGGGATTCTGGAAGAGAGTATGTCCCCAGTGCCCTGCTTGTCTCCCTGTTGGGATTCTGGAAGAGAGTATGTCCCCAGTGCCCCGCTTGTCTCCCTGTGGGGATTCTGGAAGAGAGTATGTCCCCAGTGCCCCGCTTGTCTCCCTGTGGGGATTCTGAGAGAGAGTGTTCCCAGTGCCCCGCTTGTCTCCCTGTGGGGATTCTGAGAGAGAGTAGGTCCCCAGTGCCCCGCTTGTCTCCCTGTGGGGATTCTGAGAGAGAGTATGTCCCCAGGGCCCCGCTTGTCTCCCTGTGGGGATTCTGAGAGAGAGTAGGTCCCCAGTGCCCTGCTTGTCTCCCTGTGGGGATTCTGAGAGAGAGTGT